GAAGGGATTTGCAACTTCATAGGAAGAACAATTATATCAACATCTGGACCCCCCAGAGCTCCCAGGGACTAAACCACCAACCTAAGGTACACAAGAAGGGACCCATGTCTCCATCTGCATATGTAGCAGAGGATGGCCTTATATGGCATCAATGTGAGGAGAAGCCCTTGGTCCTGTGAAGGCTTCATACTTCAGTGTAGGAAAATGCCAGAGAAGTAAGGTGGGAGTGCATGGTTCAGGAAGTACCCTCATAGAAGCATGAGAAGGGGGAATGTAATAGGGGATTTGAGGAGGAAAAACTAGGAAATGTGATAACATTTGAAGTGTAAGTAATTAAAATATCCAAAAAAAAAAACAACCCCCATGTGGAAAGATAGTTGGTAGCAGAGCAGTTTGTACAAATAGACAATTTATCAGATGCTAAAATAAAGTGCTGGAGGAAGAGGTTGACACAAGCAGAGTATTTAACAGAATCTAAGTCAAGCAGTTAGCTGGAAGGGGATGTTTGCATATTTAACAGAAGCTAAGGCAATCAGTTGGCTGGAGAAGGAGGCTTATACAAGCAGACAAGTTTAACAAAAACTAACATAATAGCTGAAAAGAGAGGTTTTGTATAAGTGCAGAGTTTAACAGTGGCTAAAATGAGCATGGAGAAGGAGGTATGCACATGCAGACAGGTTTAATAGAGGCTAAGACGAGCATTTAGCTTGAGAAGGGTTTATAGATGCAGTTTTTTTCCCTGATACTCAGATAAACAGCTTAAGAAGCAGGTTTATACATACAGAAGTATTTAACAGAACAAGCAATTGGAACCTGTTATTTGATGGTGGAACTGGATCTTGGGATTCACATCAGTATTTGCAGAAGAAGCTTCTAGTTTATCATTGGGGTGGATCACCCATCACTATATTTCACATGAAGTTTACTAGAATCAAGAAGTTCTCTTTGTATATCCTTAAGGGACCTTTTCCTTTATCATTCTCTTTCTAGAAACAATGAAATATGCTTTCTAGGATGCATTCTTTAATGCAGACGTCTGTCATCAACTTACCATTAAAATTTGCTTCAACTATGCTTTCACCCTGTTACACATGGGATCCTGTAATCCGGAAAGAAAAAGGAATTATTAAACTCCCCAAACAACTCAAAAAAAACCCCTATGAGGTATTTTCATTCAACCAAAATAATTTGAAACATGATTGTCTGACGCAATTCCTAATATTTCATCAGGTATGGAATAGACATTTTATGGACAAGAGGCTTGCTTGAACTTGTGATAATATTTCTGCCTTGGAAACAGAATGTTTGGATAGCAGTTGTCAGCTACCACTGCATGCCTCTTGATTATTTATTTGTTTTATGCCTCAGATGAAACAGGAGAAGCATGATGCATTGTAAATCTGTTATATTCAGACTTCATTGAGCACAGAAGCAAGATTAGAGTTCAGGAACTGTTGTGATAATAAAGTGGGGCTGATGACAGGATTTATGATCCTGGAAGAATCATACTTCTGGGCATGATTGTGAGAAAGTATTTAGATTAGGTTAATTGAGGTACAAAGATCTATGCTAAATATGGGTGACATCATTCCTTGGGCAGTGGTGTCAGAGTGAATAAAAAGAAGAAACATAGAAGAGTATATACATTAATAGCTCTCTGCTTCCTGAGGGCAAATACAGAGTGACCAGAAACACTATGCTTCTTACACTGTACCATCTTTGCTGTTACTGTACCTGAAACTGTGAAGCAAGATCAAATATTCATGCCTTCCATCATTTGCATAAATGTGACAAGTATATTGTTGTTGTTCCTATTATTTAAAATTGGCCTCTGTTCAAGCCGACTATCTAAGCTGCGGTGGCTCTGCCTAGCTCAGGCACCATGTTTCTCGGCCAGAGGCCACGTGCGTGCTGCAGCTAGAAATGGCTCCGCCAGAAACACCAGCCCTGCCACCCACGAGACGTCAGCTTGGGATATGGCTCTGCCAATCTTCCATACTGTCTTCTCAAGGCTGGGCATTGCCCAGACCATCTTGCCATCCATGCGGGCCTGGTAGAAAAAAATGAGACTCTAATGCTTAAAGGTAAATCAAACGCTTTATATGTTTGGTAAAGCTCAATAACAATATGCCCATATAAAAAAAGTTGTTTCTCAATTAGATAACCTAAATAAAAGTTATTGTCCAAGACCATTCTCCATTGTTGCTCCTCCTCTTCCTTTTTTCTCTTCCTCGCCTAACTTCTCCCACCTTAGCTCCTCCTACAGTATGTAATATAGAAAATTGGTCTTTCGAGAAGAATTCTTCACTGTTAATATGATTAATCTGGTGATGTACTTGATAAAATTTTGGAATCGGTTCTTGGGGAAAATCTGAAAGTGTTTGGAGCTGAATCCCAGAAAAGCACCTAATTGCTATAAAACAGTTTAATTGGCCGTTCTGTACGGAGGATGTAATGGCAGCAAGATGAGAGAAATGAAAGAGGGGTTGCTCATGACGATTCAAAAAGGATCAAGAACTCAAAGGGAAAAGGGGACAGTGGTCAGTCATGTTCAGTGCTGGCAAAGAGCTGGCTGAATTGTGACTGTGTCCTGAAAATATAAATAATGAAAAACTTAACTATGTAGACTAATCTGTTTTGAGGAAGAAATGTCAAAGTTGGATAGAATTCAGGCTGTGGCATAGGATGATCTCAGTACTGTGGATCAACTCCATAGTGAAAAGAGCAGCAACTGAAACTGAGATCAAACCCACTTGAAAACTGAAAGCCCAACCTCAAATTCTGCTGAAAGAATCTTTTGTTTCTGGGCTTCACTCTCCTAGGGAAGTGCCTCCTGTGGTGTGCAGACAGAGGCTGCTATCAACCCTGAGATTCCACCTCATGCCAATCAGAATGGCTTAGATCAAAAACTCAGGTGATAGCAGATGCTGGCAAGGATGTGGAGAAACAGGAACACTCCTCCATTGTTGATGAGATTGCAAGCTGGTACAACCACTCTGGAAACCAGTCTGGCGGTACCTCAGAAAATTGGACATAGCATTACCCAAGGACCCAGGTATACCACTCCTGGGCATATACCCAGAAGATGCTCCCACATATAACAAGGACACATGCTCAACTATCTTCATAGCAGCCTTATCTATAATAGCCAGAAGCTGGAAATAGCCCAGATGTCCTTCAACAGAGGAATGGATACAGAAAATGTGGTACATTTCCACAATGGAGTATTATTCACCTATGTAAAACAATGAATTCATTAAATTCTGAATGTCAAATGCATGGAATTAGAAAATATCTTCCTGAATGAGGTAATCCAATCACAAAAGAACATACATTGTATGCACTCACTGATAAGTGGCTGTTTGCCCAATGGCTCACAATACCTAAGATACAACTCACAGAAAGCATGAAGCACATGAAGAAGGATGACTGAAGTGTGGGTGCTTTGGTCTTTCTTAGAAGGAGTAACAAAATACTCAAGGGAGCAAATATGGAGACAAAGTGTGGGATAGAAACTGAAGGTAGGGCCATCCAGAGACCTCTCCACCTGGTTATCCATCCCATGTGCAGTCACCAAAGGCAGATGCTGATGTGGATGCCAGGAAGTGCATGCTGATAGGTCTGCCAGAGCCTGACATTTACAGAGGCAGATGCTCACAGCTAACCATTGAATTGATCATGGGGTTCCCAATGCAGGAGTTAGAGAGAAGACTGAAGGAGCAGAAAGGGTTTGCAGCCCCACGGGGAGAGCAACAATACCAACCAACCAGAGCTCCCAGAGTCTAAACCAGCAGCCTGGGAGCCCTTAGGGAGGGGTTCATGGCTCCAGATGTATATGTAGGGGAGGATGGCCTTGTTAGGCATAGGTGGGAGAGGAGATCCTTGGTCCTATGAAGGCTGGATGCTCCAGTGTGGGGGAATTCGAGGGTGGGGAGGTGGGTGTGGGTGTGTGGAGGCACATCCTTATAGAAGCAGGAGGAGGGAGGATGGGATAGGGATTTTCTGTGTGTGGGGAAAATAGGGTAAGGGGATAACAACTTAAATGTAAATAAAATATCCAATAAAAAATAAAAAAAAAGATGCTGTAAAAAAAGTAGACTGAGTAAGCTGTAAGAAGTAAGACAGTAAGCAGCACATCTCTGTGTTCTTTGCATCAGCTTCTGACTCCAGATTCAGAACTATCCCTACTTAGGCTTCCTTCAGTGTACTGTGACTCAGAATATATAAGTCGAATAAACTCTTCCATTCCCCTCCCAAAAAATTGCAAGGAACTCATTGACCTCACGGACAGTTCCATACAGTCAGTCTCTCTCTCTCTCTCTCTCTCTCTCTCCCTCTCTCTCTCCCTCTCCCTCTCCCTCTCCCTCTCTCTCTCTCTCTGAAGCAAAATTATTATAGTGGCATACAAGGTGTGGACAAGCAGCTTCCGTAATGGCTGTTTAAAAGGAAGGTTCACAAGTACAGTAGTTCCATCAACAGGCTAGATTTCTCACTGGTCTTCAGTATATTCCAGAATCAAAAAGAAGTAAACTATAATGCAGGTATAGAAATGGACATGATTGCCAGAGTGAGAGCATGCAGGAAAAATAGGAAGTATCCATCCAGGCTCCATATATATGAAGCCAGCACAAGGTCTGCTCCAGATTAATAGTGGATCTTCTCAAGATGTGTATTGTAGGTTTATCTTTTCATTTGGAGGATCTTCATTAGAAGTGTCATTGTACTTATTCAAATTATTTAATTAAGAAAAAATCACTAACAAATTTGTTCAGTCATTTGAGTTTTAGTTAATTGAACATATGGTCAAGTGAACTACCAAGAATAATCTTCACACGGTCCTTTGAAATCAAATAGGATATTTGATGCATCACTAAATAATGAATGTGTTTTTAACTAATTTGAAAGACTTCACCTCACAATTCATGTGTGCCCATTGGAACTTGGTCATTGCTTAGGACCCATCACCTAGCTCTAATAGTCATTGAAACATAAGAATGTGTACACTCTTATTTCTCTTATGGTTGGCAGTCGCTAACATTTGAACTTCCTAGAAGAGAGATAAAAAGGTAAGAATTGTATATTTTCCATGTGCTTTTTATTAGTCACCTTCACTATCTTAGGACAGAGAATACCAAAGAAGACCTCTGACATATAGGCTACTGTTAGACATTCATTCCACTTGAGTAAATTTTGCTGAATATCATAAGTATCAGAAGCCCAACATGTGAATATTTTGTCTTCAGGTCCTGCACTGTATAACTAACTGATACTGTACATGTGAATTATTGACTATGTTATTTCCCTATGTATTAAATGAGACTGATAGCAGTGTGGGCAACATTGGAGTGTCACTAATATCCTGATATGTTTAAAGTAGGTTCAAGATAAGCAAAGGATGAGCTATTAATGGTGGACTATTTGTGTGAGTCTACCAGTCAGGAAGGCTTTTTTTTTTGTGAGCAGGAACATGTGCCTAACAGAACATCTTTCATTTAGTTTCTTTACCACTACTTGTGACTCTCTCTTCATTCGATATTTCCAGTGTCTTAGAAGACTGGTGATATTGTCATCCTCCAAATGGGTTGGTATACCTCAAACACAAAAACGTAAAGTATGACCTATGAAGGCTTTCTTTTTGGCTCTTTACAAAAAACTCATATCTACCCTTGGGTTTCAGACATGAGCAGCACCACATCCTGACAAGCTAGATAATTTTTCTGGCACAAAATTATTCTACATCCTCCTTTTGTTTCTCCTTTGATGCATACTGGACCTGAATTCTGCTACTTCATATACGCCTTGGCAAGAAAGAGCTTATGTTGATTCCCAATCAATTTCCATCAATTACAAGCCCATCATGTTTATTACATTCCCATGTGGCACTTTTATTGTTGTGACCTTTTTAGAAAGCACATTTCACAGGAGTCTTTGGAACAGTGGTTAGCTGACAGTTAATCACTCTTTGCAAGGAGATCCCTATTATAGATCCCTCAACCTTCTGCATGTGCAATGACAATGACCTTATATACATGCTGGAATCACTGAAGGTCTTTTCCTCTTTTCCTTTCTCTTACAGGACTCATCAGGACATCTCAGTATGATTTTTCACATTTTCCTTTTAGAACACTCACAGACCTGAATTAAAAGATCTAAATAAGTCGTTTCACAGTAAAAATATGAAGTGTTATTTTTGAGTCAAAGATGATATTGGCTCAGCAAAAAACATATAATGGAGACATTATATGTTGCACCACAATGAAGTCAATTTTCTCAAAGTGCAATATTGAATAAAAAGTAGATACAGAATGCACATATTCATACTCGTCTTTTACATACATATTGTAGTTTTGATTAAGTAGCAATTCAACTCAGTACCTCAAATATAATAGGATATCAGGATTCTACCATTAAGTTTTTACATCAAACTAGTTACAAATAGAAGTTTAAGCTTGTGTTCATGTTGATTTTCATTATGAAATATTACACATATTGTTCCACAGAAATGTACACCCATTAGAATAATATCTAGGGAATTATGACAGAGTCTGCTCCATCAACCTTGATCTACTTAACATTCCCATTGTTCCAACATTTATGTTCATATCTTCTGGTATTTAAAGAAGTCAGGTATGCTTTTGTTTGACATAAATGGGCATACCATGTGCATTATTTTTCTTTTGTTTCTTTCTTCTCAAGGGTTATAAAAATATTAATGTGCTCTTCTAAGGATCATGCAATAATCAACTACAATATGTTGAGCATTCCTCTGTTTGGAACACTCACTGAGGCTTCTTTGTAATTTTTTCTGTTTTTCAAAGAGATCTGCAATAAGTATCATCTTAAATGATACTTCAAACTCTGATTTCACCACTAGGTATTGAAATGTATAGTCAAGAAACAATAGCATAACAAAATTTGAAGGATACTGTTAAATTTTGTCCAAACATCTTACAACGGGGACACCTGCCACAATCACAGATCTCAAGTCTTCTTATTCATACTTAACTAGAGTATGTGTTTAAGTCTTTTAAATACAGAATTAAGATAGCAGGGTCAAGGAATCAGTACTTCATATTCTGGAAACCATGACTCATTCTGTTTTTTACACTTCATGGTCCTGGTTGTTTCTATAATTGTACTTTCATATATTCAGATTTGCAGGGGTGAAGGAGTGGATCTTCAGAGTGACTGGCTTCCTTTGCAGCCTATTATCTTCGGGGTTTGGAATCATCCTTGCAAACAGCAGATATTGGTGCCTCTGGGAATTTGATGATAACGTTGTCCAGCTTGTTTACATTGGACTCTGGGAAGCTTATTACCATTGGGAATTTAACTTCTCTGGTACTGAGACCATAATTATGGTACACAGCCCTGTCAACTCTACCTGGACAATTTCACCTGAATTTCGATGTGCACGGAACCTCATATTACTGACCATGTTGATAAAACCTGTTGTTGTCATTTTTAGCTCAGCAGCCATTAAGGTCAGCATAATTAAAGCCTCAGTCCCTAAGATTCAGATAGTGTGTTACAAGTGCTCTGTCTTAATTCTGATAGCCAGTAGCATTTGTACCATTATTTCTGTGACCTGGAACCATGTAGTTGATCTCTATGGCAAAACCACCCTTGACTTTCCACCAACTTTTCCAGTTAAGAATGAAGCTCTGATTATAAAACACAGCACTCATGTGTTTCCAATTGGGATCCTGACAACCACCCTATCACTCATTGGAGTGATTATGTTCCTCTTTGAGATCAGGTCATTGAAAGTTCAGAGTAAGCTGAATGCCCAGCATGCTTCTAAACAGGTCGATGACAGGTCCATCTGGTGTTTGCAAAATGTGCCAGGAGACTCCCTGACAAAATTTCCTACACCCTTGCAGCACTCCTGTAATTATTTTCTCATTTAAAATAAAATATCACATTGATTTTCAGGGTATGTCTGGAGCTTTTATCTTCTTCTTCCTGTTGAATGTGCTGCCTTACTCAAAGGTATTTACGTCCTAAACTGTGCATTACAAGATAAATCAAAGGACCAAACCCAGGTTAGAGGTTTGTTTTATAGTCAATTTAAGCATGCATCAGGGTGGGAGCACTTAACACCTAATGTGTGTTGAATGCAGAGTAGTACTTCCAGCCTGTTAGCACTGCTGAAAGCTCTTTCTTGAGTAAAAGAAGACAAACAGTTCACTGAGTATTCTTATTGCTCTGAAGACCCCCCCCCCCACACACATGGAACTTTTTGAAATGCCCAGTCATTTCAAATGTGTTCTGAAGCAATGGGAACAACTGGGTAGGATATTGACATGATTCATGTGTATGGAAGCTCTTGGAAGGTTAGAATATTGGACTAAATACTGCTATGTCCAAAATAATGCCCTGTATCCACTTGATACCAAAGAGTAAAAAAAGTACTCCCACAGAAGTAATGAAATACCTTCTCCAAACTAGAGAGATAGTGGTGGGAGCTGATGTTTTAATTGAGCAGAGGAGTCAAGGAACCAGCATGACAAGGGAGAGAATCAGGGATTATGGCCCATGGAATTTCAAATCTCTGACTGACTAGCAATTAGATTGTTTCAGCAGCTCTGACTGACTAGCAACCAGATTATTTATATGTTTCAGAGAACAAAGTCAGACTAATGAGTATTCAAGAAGTAGAGATGATGTATTTGATTTTTCATTACATGTCCAGGGTTACAAATTCTGCCAGTTGGGAAATACAAGCAGAACACATTTTATTTTTATTATCAGTCCTATGCATCCAATTTAAAGACACTAAAGATAGTCTCTTCCAAACCAAATACGTGTAATATATGACAGCTTCTTTTTAGGCCAGCAGTGTTTCCAGTTTTAAAGCACCCCAGAAAAACAGAAATTATCTGAATGAGTCTTCTTATGAATAGCAAATAGTAATATCTAATTTCTTTTATTCTATGTTTCATCATCTACACTATAAATAGGAAAAATTAATTTTCATCAATTTCTCTTGCAGAGTTTTATTGCTCTAGGGAATATACCCTGTAAGATCATCTGTCTTTAAACTATGCTTTCAGAGTATATCTCCAAGTGTATTATAAAGGGAGGCCTTGAATCTGTAAATTCATGTCATGGTCTATCAGGGTTTGTCAATTATCTGTGTTAATTCTACATGAATTGCACTGTTTATGTTTTCTCTGGGTCAAATACCTCAAGGAAGTAATGACCTCCTGGAGTAATGACCTCATCTAGCCATAATAATCTCAAAGGAATAAGGGAGACTTGCAAGTAGGGCCAGATAAAGTTAATTTTTGGATTTTCTTAGAAATATGCAAATATAAATTTTTCAGGAAAAGACATAAACTGAATTATAATGCAGAATGTCCTCAAGAATGTAACAAGCAAACACCAAAACCCCAAAGTGAGAGACTGAATGACAGTGATTACAGCATTTGTCTTGGCTTTGGTTGAAATGGGTCAAACAATTCTGCTGGCTTCGTGTCTCTCACTGTTTCCAGTAGATATGGTTGTGCCACCTTAGTTTAGATGTATTATGATAGCTTTCTCTCCTGGGTTGGTGGACACTGATGATTTAAACTGACATTTTTCTCTACGTTTTTCATTTAATTGTCACAAGTGTGCTAGGGTGGATGCACATGTGGGCAATGACTGCCTGTTCAGTTGGCTAAAGGCTGGCCAAGTTATTTTACCTTTGCACTGCTCCATACAAAGGATTAACAACTAGAAAGGAATAATCCATAAGCCAACTTTCTGGAACCCTTTACATAGTTATGGCTGTCTTCTTGAGTACTTTTGTTCACATTCACCAGCATGGTGAGATTCTGAATGTGTGTTGTACTGTGTGTATATTAATTCTCCATGAATACTGGTCTTTTACTGTCTTTCCCCCAAACCCACTGTGTTAGATACTTGATTAATTGCTGTAATAAAGAAAAAACTTTATATAAGCAACTCAACATAGGAAAGATTGTAGTCATGGAATTCCTGTGCAGGTATGGCAGTCAGAGTAAACACTTTTGTGTTATAGGGAAATCTTGTGAGTTTCTTTTTTTGTCCAAAGGTACGATCTAACTCATTGTAGGAATGGATAAAGTATGAGCTTCAAAAAAATCCAGAAGAAAGGCAAAACATAAAGTGATAGTGAAGAGAGAAGAATGTCAAACAGAGGTGACAGCTACAGGTCCATGAGAGGGAGATCAAATGTGGCAGACATTTGCTCTATAGATGGTATCTCTAGGCTTTTGGTTCTGTGTTCTATAAGGACTTAGGTTGAGCAAGTCATGACTAGCAAACCTATAAACAGCATTCAACCATAACCTCTACATTGGTTCAACATGCAGGTTCCTGTTGTGTTTAAGTTACTGTCATGATTTACTTGAGGATGAACAGTCATGCACAAGTATAAGCCAAATAAACCCCTATTTTTCTAATTTGCTTTGGTCATGGTGTTTCATCACAGCAATATTAGTCCTAACTAAGACATTGCTATAAAAATTCCTTTAATATACTCATAATGGACATTCTATAATTTAATAGTACTTTTTTTAAGATTAATTTTTTACTGGATATTTTATTTGCATTTCAGATGTTATCCCATTTTCCCCCAATCAGAAAGCCCCTATCTCATTCTCCCTCCTCCTGCTTCTATAAGGATGTGCCCCCACCAACCCACCCAACCACTCCCTCCTCCCCACCCTCAAATTCCCCCACACTGGGGCATCCAGCCTTTATGGGACCAAGGACTTCCTCCTCCACCTATGCCCATAAAGCTATCCTCCCCTACATATACTACTGGAGCCATGAGTCCCTCACTATGTGCTCCCAGGCTGGTGGTTTAGACCCTGCGAGCCCCAGTTGATTGGTATTGTTGCTCTCCCCATGGGGGTGCAAAGCCCTTCAGCTCCTTCAGTCTTCTATCTCACTCCTCCATTGGGAATCCTATGATCAGTTCAGTGGTTAGCTGTGACCATCAACCTCTGTATATGTCAGACTTTGGCAGACCTCTAAGGAGACAGCTGTATCAGGCTCCTGTCAGCATGCACTTCCTGACATCCACATCTGTGTCTGCCTTTGGTGACTGCACATGGGATGGGTACCCAGGTGGAGCAGTCTCTGGACAGCCCCTCCTTCAGTTTCTGTCCCACACTTTGTTTCTATATTTGCTCCCATGAGTATTTTGTTACTCCTTTTAAGAAGCACCAAAGCACCCACACTTTGGTCTTCCTTCTTCATGCGCTTCATGTGGTCTGTGAGTTGTATCTTGGATATTGTGAGCTTCTGGGCTAATATCGAATTATCAGTGAGTGCATACCATGTGTGTTCTTTTGTGATTGGATTACCTCACTCAGGATGATATTTTCTAGTTCCATCCATTTACCTAAGAATTTCATGAATTCATTGTTTTTAATAGCTGAGTAGTACTCCACATTTATCAATGGAATAAAATTGAAAACCTAGAAATAAAACCACACACTTACAGACACTTGATCTTCAGCAATGAAGCCAAAAAAAAAAAAAAACCAGTGGAAAAAGAAAGCATCTTCAATAAACAGTGCATGTTTTAACTGGCAGTCATTATGTAGATAAATGAAAATATATCCATATTTGTCACCTTACACAAAGCTCAAGTCCAAGTTGATCAAGGACATCAACGTAAAATTAGATACACTGAATCTATTAGAAGAGAAAGTGAGAAAGAGCCTTGAACTCATTGTCACAGGGGGAAATTTCCCAAACACAATTCCAATGGTTTAGGCTCTAAGATAAAAAATTGATAAATGGATCTCATGAAGCTTCTGTAAGGCAAAAGGCATAGTCAATAGGACAAAACCGCAACCTATAGATTTAGAAAAAATTCTTCACTAACCCTACATCATGAGGTCCCATGGATATATTTTCAATTTTCTACATAATGACTGCCAGATAAAAAAGCACTGATTATTGAAGATATTTTGTTTTTTCATTGTATATTTTTGGCTTCTTTTTCAATGATAAGTGTCCATAATTATGTGGATTTATTTCTGGGTCTTCAGTTTTATTCCATTGATAAACGTGTCTATCTCTGTACCAATACCATGCAGTTTTTACCACTTTTGTTCTGTAGTATAGCTTGAGGTCAGGGACAGAAATTCCTCCAGAAATTCTTTCACTAGGTTCCTTCCAGTCTGGGTCCTTGTGCTCAGCAGACCCAGGAGACAGCTCTGCACCCAATCTCACAGAACTCAGAGGAAGCAGGGGCCCCCAGGAACTCTAACTAGAGCATTATCTCAGGTTAAAAATGAATCACCCCATGATGTCTCCTGTTAGAAGTTCTAATCCTGATGCTGGCCTCTGGACTTATAGTACTCAGACATTCAATGGGCCATTGACAAGGACATCAAACAGCTAGAGATTGACATCACTAATCTAAAGAAATCTCTCGTTTTGCTGTCTGAAGTGATCTTCAAAAATTGCAAAGGACTTTATTGGAGTTGATTTACTCTTTTACAATAGAAAAGACTGTGTACAGCTCTTGACTGTGTACAGCCCTTAAAGAAGAATGTTGCTTTTACATAGACAAGACAGAGATGGGTAAAGAAAGCCTAAAAAAGGTCAGAGAAGGCCTTGTGAAAAGACAGAGAGAGAAAGAGAAAGATGAAAGCTGGTACAAGAATTGGTTTTCAACCTCTCCATGGATGTCAACTCTACTTCCTCCCATCTTGGGACCATTAATTCGGTCATTTTTGCTTATTTCTTTTTGTCCCTGGTCCTTAAATAAGCTGGCTAGCTTTGTGAAACAACAGATAGATAATTTGGTAGCAAAACCTATTCAGATACATTATCATAAGTTAGCTATGGAGTACCACGAGACTCAAGATGAGGTTGTTACCAGGGTGTTCCCAAAACCCTTCCCCACCCAACCTAAAAGAGGGGACTTTTGCCCCTAGACCAAGC